TTTCTGAAGAGCTGTTGTGAAGCCCAGTGTGTTTGGCTCCGGCCACCGCCATCATGGTGGTTGGCCAATCAAATTCATGCAAGAGCACAATCCTGGTAGAATATTTCGTAACATGAAGGTTGTATATCTGTGGTTTGCCTCGTGATCATTGTGATAAAACAAAGCTGTCACAAACTGTGATAACTTTTCATACTTGTTTTGCTCGGACTACCAACACCAGCCCATGCTACGCTGACTGGTCATAGCCAGTCTGTCCTGCACCCACTCCCACCACCTCTGTACGTCATCACACACTATGCAGCCACAAAGCTACCCCTCACACAGATATTTGCCTCCCCACCTACCTCCCATTCCTCTGTTACATAAGGGCGGGTCATCATGGCAGCAATATAGGCTGTTATCTTTAAGGAGTCAGTGTCTTCTATAGTCTTTTCTTCCAACAAGTTGTGCTTTTTTAGTGTAAGATATACAAATGGCCTTTCCCTTCAGCGTTATGTGCAAATAAACCTGTCTGTGGAGCTTGATCTATATAATCTTTTAAATTACTTCTTCACACTAATTTATATTTTTATAGACTTTAATGCAATAACCTCTGTTGTTGTTTCCTTTTTAATGATCCTGGCTTTTGTCTTATGTTACCTTGTTTTTATTACCGCTGCTGTTGAGTTTGTCTTTTTAATTGTGTTTTTTAAGTGTTATTAATAAAAAATACCATTATGAGTTAAGTGAACCTAAAAATGAAGCATCCTTTGTCCTCAGACGTGACTGACATGGAGGAAGAAGAGGCCCCAGCTGCTCCGGTGATTGTTGGAGAAATGAAAGAGGTTACGACAGTGGAGCGAGAGAAACAAGAGTCTTTCCAGGAGATGATGGTAACAACAGTGACCACGCTGACCACGGTTGTTGAAGCAACAGCGGAAGAGATGGACGTAGAGGAGAAGGAGGAAGTTGAAACTGACAAAATAACAGAGGAGGAGAAGGAGGAAAATATAGAGGAGGAGGAAGTAGAGATGGACGGAGGAGAAGACAGTGGAGAGGAAGAGGAGGGTCACACAAAGAAGTTTTTGGGACCTTGGGAATCTGAGGTTAGAACTTTTAAAACTCGACATAAACAATCCAGAATTAAATATTCAGCTCAGTTAAAGCCAAAATATAATCAGATAATGAGAAACGTTGGCAAGAAAGAACTTAACAATGGAAAACTATGAAGCAAGATTATAAAATCAGTAAGTACGCAGACCTGTGGATCTTGATTAAATATGTTCAGTGTGGAATACAATACGACCACAACCAGGAACCAGGTAATTAATGTGTTATCTTTTTAGATTACAGTTAGGTTTTGTGCTTATTTTTCAGAAATGTTTTAACAATGCAAAGAATGTCAGCTTTTTTAAATATTTCAGGACCTGACTTTCCGAAAGTTAAAAACCTAACTTTCAGTCATCAGTCCAATAAAAAACAATATGATTTCATATAATTTTATTAGCTGATCTTCATTTGATGTAAGTAACAGCTTGTTACTTACTTACTTAGAGGTCATCTTACGGGAGGACAAAAAAAAATTTCTTCTGATTTTTACATTTTTCAAATTTGCTCTTGGACCTCTTGGTCTTTTAATCAAGTTATTCTTTCTATTAAACAACTTCCCTGTTCAGTACAGAACATTAATGCACACAGTGTTCCCAAACTGTAGCTAAGTCCTGTGTACTGCTAAACATCTTGGAGGATTTTGCTTTTCTTTGATGAAGTCTGCTGAGAGGCAGATTTAGTTCCTCAGCAGAGAAACCACAGCTCTCAGCTCTGACTGTGAGTCTTTGTATTGACCTTGGCGTGGGGCATCGCCTGGCACTGCCGGTTTTTATACGGGCTTAGAGAGGATTAGTGAAACTACAAATGAAAATGTGCCATTATTAGCCTTTGATAGTGGGACTTTTACGACTCAATCGGGCCTGTTAGGAGAGGCAAGGGATTAACGGTGCATGAATTAGAAGTTTCCTTCCGTTGACTCACAAGTTTCTCTGACTCAGTTTTATTAGTGGGGCCAGACAGATAATTCAGTTTGCCAATATTGTCCTCAAATTACCACTATTAGTTTGAATTAGTCTCAGTAAAGAGATGTAGGATCCCAAGATGGTTTAAAGGCCATTACAGACTTCTTGGAAACTCTGGATATCCATCTTTTTGACATAAACATTATAAAGTGTACGAATCTAGAACAACAGAAAATAGTGGTTATACCGACTTTTGTCTAAATAATGTCAGTACCTTTATTGGCCTCCAGATCTTACGTGTCCTTCTGTGCTTTCAGGCCTCCTCTGATGCAAAGCCTCCACTACCAGACCCAGCATTTAACAGGAGATGCAGTTTGCTCGCCAGTGAAGTAAGTTCATTCACTGTCACTTCAGTTCTTTATATCTATCACAGCTGTAGTTCGATTCCAGATTTAAGGGGAAAAAATCTATTGTTGCCTTCTGGTTCAGTTCCTGTTCATGCTGGATTATTCCAAACAAACAAAGAGCCATGTGGGGAAATCAAATCCCAGTGACTGAGAGCAAATAATACTGCACTTTAATGAGCCTTACAGTGGGATATGTGTGTATTTATCGTCTCTGGTGTCACCAAGAGCTCATGAAGAAATACCTGATTACGAGTATCATTAGTCGGGAGTGTAACTGGACCTGATAGACTGTAAATAGTGACAAATACACAATAAAAGAGGCATTTTGTAGCATTATATTACAGAGAAATGCAAAATATAAGACATAAACACAATATATCAGAGGAAATCCAGCATTCACACATACTGTTACCATGGTTACAAAATGAACTTGTATAAATATAGGCTGAATATATGAAGATCCCTCTCTTAACATTTCACAATGAGTGGGCGATTTCATAGTTGTTTAGTGTTCAGTGACTATCCTCCCCATTGAATTATGTTTCAGTAAAAGTCTCTTTCTACCTTTCTTATTTTGTTATTTGTGACAGTTTTAAGGTAAAGCCTGAGCTTGTTGTGTCTAACACTGAGTTAAAACAGTAATATATATAAAAATCCTGCTACATTGACCCAGACTGGGTCCATTTGTAACCCTGTGATATTTTTCTGCTTGCAACTGTTTCGTTTCCAACTCCTGGAATAAAATGTTTCTGGAGGTGAACTCTTCCACATGTGTAAGACAGCGAGGCGTCATCCTTTTACTCCGCCTCTTGAACTGAGCGCAGGGTTGCCATTGGTAACCATCCCTCTAAAGATCCAGTGACTGGCCTTTATTCAACTCAGAGGGAACGTATACTCGAAGGAAAAACCCTGTCTTTTTTACTCCTGCAGCAGCGGTTTCGTTGCGTGTATCTGGCAGTAAAACGGTGAATGAGGGTGAATGCTGTTGTAGGATGTGGGAGGGTGAGATATCGATTCCCCGGTGTGAGTCAAACTTGGCAGCTTGACTGTTTGCACCAGCAGAATGACTCATCAGCTACAGTGGAAGCAAGTCAACCCACTTTGTGAAATCATCTTCATTTATTCCTCCAGCTGCTGTCTGTGAAATCCTGCCTTCAAACATCATTATCAATGATCACACGCAGGAAGTTTAAAGCTCAGAGATCTCAGGACTTTGGTCCCACTCTGCTTCAGTAGGTGGGATGAAACACTCTCTTTTTGTTTCCCAAAAAATTCCTCGTGCACTTACCAGTGTCCTAAAGCTAGTTTAGGGATGTTGCTGTTACCATGGAGACGCCAACCGCTTCAAAGTTGTGCTCGAGGCAGCCTGAATGGATGGAGAGAGCTTTAATATGTAAGAGCACATGGAGAAAACACAAGAAGGCATTTATAAATACACAGAGCCTCACTGAGAATTACTTTTAATATATCATGGTAAGAAGCCAGTGGAGCAGTATTTGGTGCCATTAAGCACCGTTTTGTTTTGTTGCCCACTCTGGTTTCCTCTCACAGATTGAGGCGGACAGCTTGTCATCTGTGGATTAATTCCATTTTTCTCCCAGGTCCCTCCAGAAAATCTGCCGGTCTGTTGTTGGACCAGACGTCTCAGTCAGACACCAAACTGAAGTTCAGTCCATCAGCACTGTGGTTGTCGTGCTGCACTGTATGACAACAAACTGTAGTATAATCAATCATACTGAGACTAACCTGACTATAATTCTAGGACTTAATTAACAGATGTAATTTTACACCCACAGTTAGTCATAACTTTACTCTGAATATGGACCGGCTGTAGCTCAGGTACTATATACCACTGATTCCCAACCAGGAGTATTTGGCAACTTCTGCTGTCGCCAGGGGACACATGGAGAGTTTGAGTAGCTCAACTAATTTTGAAAAATTTAATTAATGATTTGATTAAAAAATACACACACATATAGCCATTTAAAAAGTGCGTTTGCTGTGGTTGGTACCAGCTAAGTTCCTCTAAATGGTAAGATATAAGAAAAAGAAATAAAGAGGAGAGGAAATAAAACTAAAAGTAATGGATGAAAACTTGAGTAATAGGAATGCAAAACTTGACCAAACTGAGCAAATCTTTGACAGTTCAATTCAAACATCATTAAATCCAATACTATGTCCTCTTTGATTTGATTAATAGTTAAATAACATCCAGTTTGGAATGAATTCAACTTAAGATATACTGTACCTCCTTTAATCCTAAAAAAAATCACTCTGACATGAACAGTCCCTCATCAGAAAATAATCCTTTTGACATCATGACATGATATAAGGCAAACTTGTTATGTTCATTATGAGAGACAAAAATAGAAAATATTAATTATATTAAATTTTTATTCCATTTAAACAAAATATAAAAATGACTCCCTTCTTCCAGATGTTTTCTTAAAGGAGAAAACTCTTAATGTTCATTATTTTTTACAAGTTGTCCTGGAAGAAGGAGGAGGAGGAGGAGGAGGAGGAGGAGGAGGAGGAAAGATTTATATAATATTTTTTTGTTTGTTTTCTGAGCTGCAAAGATGAGCTCTGTGCCTGATCAATACAAAAAGACAGTGGACAATCAGATGTTTGATGGTATTCAAACTCATTCTTCACTGAAAGGAGCCAATCAGGAGAAAGTCCAGCAGTGACCAGAATTAAGTTTAGTAGATTTGCTCATTACAGACTCTTTGTTCATCGTATGCTCATCTGAAAAGATTCAAATAACTTTAAATGCAGATTTGTCTCTTTTCATGTAGTTTTGTAACAGTATTGTTTTCATTGTGTGGATGCTCGACGTACCGTAGGTTAGAATAGAAGATGTTTTTAATGTTTTAGAGATAACGAGAGTTATACTGCGCACAGCCTGGAGAGACGACTCCTCTCTGAGCTTGAAAACTAAAACTCTGCAAAACAAACAAACATTCCTCCTGAGGATGAAGCAGAAGTGCAACAGAAGTTCAGCTTCTATGCAATTTAAAGTCACATAACACACACACATAAAAACACTCTCATGTCTCCTCCTCCCTGCAGGTGAAGTATAAGGAGGACTTTGAGAAGATGAGGGGTCAGAGTCTGTTTGTTCCCGGAGCCGAACTAATCCATTCCAAGAACATCAGCGCTGTCATATCTGAGGTATGAACACACTCTGTTCTGCTACACTTGTGAGGACATTCATTGACATAATACATTAACTTACAAAGGTGAGGACCACACACACACACACACACACACACACACACACACACACACTAATTTCAACCAATCTGATCATTTTTGTGCAACTTTCAGTCTAAGTACAAAGAGGAGGGAAAGAAGGAAGCATCGATGTCTCTGTACTCCATCCTAGCAGAGACTCCTGAGACTCAACGTGCCAGAGAGACTTCAGAGCTGCAGAGTGAGGTTAGTTACACTTCAGTGCACCAGGATTTCAACTTGTGTACCTGTGAACTACAGACGGCGTTGAGAGCAGTCAATCATTGACATGATTGCTCTAAAAGGGAAGCAGCATATATAAAATATAAAATTATAAAGCATTCTCACAGGACAAATGTGGAAAACTATGGAAATAGTGGTAATAAAACTGTGTACTGCTTCACACAGCAAAGCTAACTATTATACTCGAGAATAACTCTCCTGGATTGAGAGGAAGTTATGTTAGCCTCTAAATACTGTTCCTATAATGATCAGATGATTTTTATTGGTTTTAGAGTGCTAATAGTGGCCATAAAACATGGTTATAGGACTGACGAATGATTAGGCAACTGCAATGGCTGTTTTCTGTCTGATCTGTCGTATGCTTTCTTCTGTAAACCTCCATGTTGATGCATCGAAGCAACATTAACAATTGTGGCTGCAGGTTTTTTTAAGTGGGGGCTGAAATAAAATGCTGCGGGTACCAATCAGAAATGTTCAGTGCTGCAAGCCACACCAGCATAGTTCTTGTACTTTTGGAAAGTACAACGCCCGAGCAGGGACTTTCTGAGGGGTAAAATAAGGTCCCTTGAACTTAATTTAGACCCCTGCAGTGGAAAGAGTCCCTCCAAATGTTTCTAGGTCCCTGGGGAAGCTTCCTGCGGTCGAAACGTGGCTAAAGTTGTGTGTTTTTGTTTTTCAGATTAAATACAAAGGAAATGTGAAGACAGAGATTTCCTCCTCTCTTTATTCTCTGCTGCCGGAAACAACAGAGACCCAGTTCGTCAAAGAGCTGACGGAGTTACTGAGTGAGGTCAGACATGATGGACGGACGGATGAGTGGATGGATGGATGAATGATAGATTGATGGAGGGACACATGAATAAATGATAGATGAATGGATAAATGGATGAATAAATGGCCATATGGATGGATTGACAGACAAATGGATGGATGCATAAATAATGCACCTGAGGTAGGTGGATGGATTATGAAGACTGGATGAACTGGAAAATGGAGGATGTGTCGATGGAAGGATTGATAGACAAATGGAAGGCTAGAGGATGAAGGACAGACAGACAGATGGATGGATGAATGATATCTTAATTTCACTAGAAGATCTGAATAAAACATGAATTCTCTTTTGTATTGTGAGCATCAGAAAAAAGAAAAAATAATAAACATTCAATATAGAATATTTGAAAAAAGAAAGACTAGAGTTCAAAGTTCGATGTATCTGTTATAAAAGTAACTTAAAGGAAACTCCAGACTCTATTAATATGTCGTCACACTGAAACCCTCTCTGCTCCTCAGAACAAGTACAAGGAGGAAGGAAAGAAGGAGATGAGCAGCAGTTTGTACTCTCAGCTTCCTGAAACCGCTGAGATGCAGCTGGCCAAGGCGGTCCACGAGTTTCAGAGCGAGGTACTCAAACATGAAAATCACTCTGACTTATATGGCAGCTGTGTTTCAACGTATTTCATCAGTTAACTCCAGTCTGGGCATCGACACACAGTTTGATTTATGCAGCAGCTGCAGGTTTGATGAAGATGTGCAACGTCCCACCGCTAATGAATTACATACAGAAAGTAAACACAGAAGTCTTATTTAAAGCTGGAGAGCTGCACTCTTACATATATAAATGAACATCCGCTGCTAACACAATGCTGATTAAGCCTCGTCACCACCAGGTCAATCCCTCTGCATGTCGCAGTGTAGTCTGTGGCCACTTTCCCGCACTGGAGCAACAGTACTGATGTGTTTTACATCACCCAGCAATGCCGACGTTTTAAACCAAAAAATGCACATTAACTCACCAGTGAAAAACACCCAGTTCATCCAGAGAGCTCTCAGTTACCTTTCCAACCCCCGACAATGAGCCAAAAGGTCAAAAAAATTGATAGTTTAGCTCCATCCTCCAGCAGTGGGCGGGCATTGTCCATGCCTCCTGTTCGCCACTCATTGAAATCTTTTTTTTTTTTTTTT